ACCCGCTCAGATCAGCTTGGGGGGGGGGGAGGTTCTCCCTTATTCCTCTGGAGCAGCCCAGCATCCTGGAGGCAGAGCTCCACGCCGCCGAGGTGCTGCCTTACCCTGCCTTCCCTGCTTCTCCTTGCCCCTGCCGCCGGCAAGCTGGAAAGGGTTCACGCAGGCACAGTGGAGGGAAGGAGGAGCTTACTAGGCCTGCCCGAAGCCAGCCAGGGAAGGAGATACTACTACTCCCACCTCCCACTTCCTCTCCCTCCCTGCTCCTCTAATTTTATTTATTTATTTATTTATTTGTTTGTTTATTTAATTAGATTTATATACTGCCCTCCCCAAATGGGCTCAGGGTAGTGTACAGCGATTAAATAATACAATTAAAATGGTATTAAAATAACAATTTACACATAAAATATCATAAAATGCCATGTAAACATAGAGGTAATCAGATGACCAATCAAGATCAGGCCACTGGTGGACAATTGGCCAGAAAAGCTGGGCCAGAGAAACTAGGGCCAGAGAAGCTGGGGGGGGGGGGAACGGACGTCCACTGCCTTAACCAAATGCCCGGTGGAAGAGCTCCGTCTTGCTGGCCCTGTGAAACTGTAATAAGTTCCGCAGGGCCCTGACCTCATACGGGAGCTCATTCCACCAGGGCCAGGGCTGAAAATTTAATTTAAATGTAGTTTAATTTTAATTTAATGCCCCCTGGCACACACACACACACCCCGAAAAAATTCCTGGCTACGGGGCTGAGAAGAACACAAATAAATGTGGAAGCATGCAAGTAAAGCCATTGTAGATATCAAAAACATATAGGCTCTGTTTAGCATCCTTGTGATTAAAAATCCGTATACATGTTGTGCAAATGGTACTGTTTCAGAAGTCAGACGGTGCACCTCATCATTCACTGGCGGTTTGTTTCTTCTGCTCTCAGAGACACCTCCTTATTTCTGTGAGCAGTGCGGGAAGACCTTCACCCAGCAAGGTGCCCTGAGGCGTCACCAGCGAATTCACACTGGAGAGAAGCCATACAAGTGCAGGGCTTGCGAGAGGACCTTCACTGACATGTCTACCTTGAGGAGGCATGTGCTGGTATGTGTGTGACATGCCCTTGTCTTTAGGTGTCTGTCAGAACACCAGCACTCGGGCAGTCCCCACTGAAGTGGCCGTGCGGTAGATTCGGGGCAGACCAAAGATTCTTCACCCAAAAGGAAATTCATAATCCTGTTATGCAGTGATGGCCACTGGGGTGTGGTGGTGGTAGAAAGTGCCATCAAGTTGCAGCCGTCTTCTGGTGACTCTGAAGAGTTTTCAAGGCAGGAGACTAACGCCGGGGGGGGGGCGGGTTGCCATTGCCTCTTCTGTGTAACAATCCTGGACTTGCTTGTTGTTGCTTCTTGGATGGTCTCTCGTCTCCCATCCAAATACTAACCAGGACGAAATCTGTGTAGCGTCCGAGGTCTGACAAGACTGAGGTAGCCTGGGATTTAAGTAGCTTTAAAAATGGATGTGACAAAGTCATGGGGGAAGAGAACTTCCTTCCTTCCTTCCTTCCTTCCTTCCTTCCTTCCTTCCTTCCTTCCTTCCTTCCTGCCTTCCTTCCTGCCTTCCTTCCTGCCTTCCTTCCTGCCTTTCCTGCCTTTCCTGCCTTTCCTGCCTTTCCTGCCTTTCCTGCCTTTCCTGCCTTCCTTTGCCTTCCTTTGCCTTC